TGGTTTTACTATAAGGCCCATCTACCTTATCTCTTTACCCAAGCCTACGGTAACTCCCTCTCTCCCTCATTATCACCCGACGCCGACACCTGCACCTTCTCTTCCTCTCGTGCCCGCGCGTCGCCGTCGCCCGGCCGCATGCTGCCAGTCTCCGACAGTGCCGTGGTGGTTGCCAGCCATCTTCCAATGCCGCTGGTGACTGCTGCTGCTCTTGACCCGAGCAGTTGCACTTCTTCCCTCTCCAATCCTTGTTTGAGAATATGGAGCAGGGAGATAATGACCAAAAGGGGAAATGAAAGATGAATGAGCAAAGAGACAAGGATCCACCTCGCCATGGTCGAGGAAGGTCAACGGTAGCAGGCAGTAGTGTAGCTCCAAGGGGACTTGGTGAAAGGGGGAGGCGCGAGTAATACATTGAAGATGAGGAGAGGCTGGAGATGATAGGTCGTACCACTGATGCCATTCCTGACACCCCACAACATCTCTCTGAGTTTGATGGTAGATACATGAGAGATTTTGAGGGTGAGATCATCATGAGACCTCCAGATGACTCCTACCAGCATGTAGTTGTCAACTATTCCAAAAGTTGGAAGCTGGTGAAAGAGGCAAGGGGGATCAATCCCTATGCAGTGTGCAAGGATTTAGGCATTGATTACAGATTCTGGAATGAGTTTCATTCCAACTTTTATGCCACTGCCATCTTGCATAAAAAACAAGATCATCAAGATGCAGTATATTAATTAGGATGAGATGCAAGAGAAGAAGGATCCTAAGTTTGACAAGGTAATCAAAATTTGTGATAGGTTCTAGCTTTCAGACATCATGGGTTTCTAGTATAACTGAAATGAGGAGGGCCTTGCACAGTTTCATGCCATATACTTCTATGACCAGACCTCTAATGAGATTCACTGGATGACTGATGGTCAGCACTACCGAGTCGACTTTGCCACTTTTAGTAGGATTCTTGGCTTTGGGGAGGAGCACAGAGGTTACACTTACATTCATGATAAGCCTCGAGCTAAGATCCATGACATCAGTTACATGTGGAGAGATAGATGGATTGCAGATGGCAAGAGGAGTGGTCTACACAACTTCTATTACATCCTCAACAATCTCATCAGGAACACCATCAACCCAAAGGATGGAGCAGCCTCATATATTAATGGCTATGTGAGAAATGTGTTGGCTAGATTTGCTCCAGGTGGGGACAGGTTCAATGTCCCTAGATTCATGTGGACTGAGTTGAGATTTGCGGTGGAGGATGGGAAGAGAGGGATGCCCTATGCCCCTTACCTCATGTTCATGATTGAGAGGGTCACTAGATTTTATTTTCTGTAGGATGGGATGCACACCGTCTACAAAATTGAGAAGATTCAGCAGCTGTAGCTACTCAGGGAGCAGGAGCTCTCATGTGCATGTAGACATCCCTAAATCTTCCCGCTCTAGGTCTCACAGAGGAGGCAAGATTAAGAAGTTTGGCAAGTGGTTGAAGGCAATCTTTGGCAAGTGCACCTATGCAGCTAACAGAGCATATGAGACACAGCTTGAGTAGCGTCAGTAGCGTGGACAAGACCTTCCACCACTTCCTTCTATTCCACCACCTCCATAGTATGACCTTCTATACCCATGGATTTGTTTGGGCCAACACAATACACTAGCATCGGTGGAAATAAATATGGCTTTGTGATAGTGGATGATTATACTAGATACACTTGGGTATTCTTCCTAGTGGACAAAAGTGATGTGTTTGCAACATTCAAATCATTTGTCAAGGGCATTCACAATAAGTTTGAAACAACCATCTAGAGAGTTAGAAGTAACAATGATAGTGAGTTCAAGAACACTAGAATTGATGAGTTGTGTGATGAATTTAGAATTAGACATCAATTCTCGACCAAGTACACTCCATAATCAAATGGCCTTGTTTAGAGGAAGAATAGAACACTCATTGATATGGCAAGGTCTATGCTTAGTGAGTACAATGTGAGTCAATCTTTTTGGGCCAAAGCTATCAACATGGCTTGCTATTGTAGCAACCACCTCTATTGTCACCCATTGCAAGAGAAGACACCATATGAGCTCTTGAATGGTAGAAAGCCCAACATTGCATATTTTTGGGTCTTTGGTTGCAAATACTATATCTTGAAGAAAGGCACTAGATTGGGCAAGTTTGACAAGAAGTGTGATGATGGATTCCTACTTGGTTATTCCACTACAAGCAAAGCATATAGAGTTTGGAATTTGGATAGTAGTAATCTTGAGGAAGTTCATGATGTTGAATTTGATGAAACCAAGGGTTCCTAAAATGAGAATGAGAACTTGGAAGATGTTAGAGGCATTCAACTTTCAAATGCCATGAAGAACATGGATGTTGATGAATTAAGACCTAAGCAAGTGAATGAAGAGCATAGGAACCCACCAAACCTATTGATCTTATGCTGCACAACCAAGTGCATAGTTGCGCCAAGTTTGATAACCATGTTGCAGAGCGCAACAAGTTCTTGGAGGAACTGAAATTGAAAAGGAAAAGGTAGATAAAGGTGGATGAGGAGATTGAGATCAAGCAACCAAGGAAGGAGCAGGTTCCCAGATCACATCCAATGCAAGACTTTTCCAGACCATTTGTGACAACAAGGTTAGTGAAGCCTCAAACAGTTCCTAGCAAGCCAAGATTTCACATTAGGTTAAATGAGGGCATCCGCTCATGCATGCGCATCCCAAAGTCTAGCATCGATGATGCGCATTAGGCCATTGGGAACATGCATGCATGCATATTTTGAAGTACACCATTAGGATGTGCATTAGGCCTTTGGGATGCGTATGCATGAACGGGCGCACTCATTTAACCTTGTGTGAAATTTTGCCTCCCTTGGAACTATATGAGGCTTCACTGACGTTGTTTGCACAAATGGCCTGGAAAAGTCCGGCACAAGATGTGCTCTCAGGACCTACTCCTTCCTCATCTGCTCAATCTTAACCAAGGAACCCACCAAACCTATCAACCTTGTGCTGCACAGCCAAGTGCATGCTGCCAGTTGCTCCAAGTTTGTTAGCCATGTCACAGAGCGCATCCTACACCAACTGATCCTACACCTACTGGTGTGGTTGGAGGCGTCGAGGATGCAGCCGACACCGGTGAAAGAAACTTGTTTCTTGCTCATCGTCGTGGCTCTATTCTGCAACTTGGGGCCACCTACGTAGCCGAAAAGCAAGAGGATTCAGAACTATTCGAACCTATCCACCAGGTACTTGACGCGGCCCTTGTACGGCTCTAGGATGACCAGCATTGTCTCCTCCATCTCGATCTGTGCCAGCATGGTCACCATCCACACCCGCGAGGCAAAGGCCTCGCTGCCCCATCGTTCTTCGCCCACCTTGTTGCAGGCCTTATCGTCACGCGCCTTGCTGTAGTCAGGTACATGTTCTTGGTGCTGGTGCAAGAATCCAACCTCCTACTGGACGGTGACCTCTTCACCGCCGTCAGTGTCTTCTTGGAAGAGACACAGGCGGGTGGCGATCTAGAGCTGCACTTGTTGGCCGCCTTGCCACCGGTGCCAACAACTGCCACCTAGGCGATCCTGCGACGACATCTCCACGAGCGTCAATAGCCACCGCGGTCGTCGTCCTCTAGCTCTCGCCGCCTCAGCAGCCATCATCCCTGACCCCCGACCAGATACGGATCAACCAGGACTCCAGCAGGAAAACAAAAACTCTTGAAACGGTGAAACCCTGAGCGGAGTAGGGGTTAGGTGCATCCACGTCCGCCGCCTGCCTACGGCTCATCCGGTTCTCGCGCGACTGATTGATCATAACACATCTTTCGCCTAGTTGCATCCGTCTATGCCCACTTATCGCTCGCCGCTCAAGACTCGGGGAGTTTTTAATTAGAGGAACACGTAAAGAAATTTTAATTGGCTTTCATTCACCCCCTTTGGTCGTCGTTTCGGTCCTACATCATATTTATCGCCATCCCTATAGTTTTGTCTTAAAAAATTCTTTTTTTGTATTGAAATGAACCAAATATATAACTCCCACAAAGATTTATTCCAAGGCATCCCATTCTACTTTATATTAAAATGAACCAAATATAACTCCCACAAAGATTTATTCAAAGGCAGAGATATTTGATTTACTAGTAGTTGCTTGTACTTTCTAAAAAAAGGCTCCAATTGCTATAATCTCTTTGTTTATCATAGTGTTGCACAGATGCAACTTTCTCCATTAGCTCGTTCCTTGAATTTTGTTTACATCGATGGTGGGAGAAAGAAGATTGGGCACGACTCCTCCTTTGCTACATACATCAAACTGTAAAAATGGTAATATTCGTTCTAGTATCTACTTACATGTTCAATCCTACGCAAGTTAAACGTCGCGAATCCAATCTTTCTCTTATATATATACAAATATGAATAGGCATTATTTCGGCGTCTGCAATTTACATGTCTTGAGTGTAAAAGCCTACAGTATGTCACAAATTTCTCCCTGTTAATAATGGGTCTTGGAATGGGGTGGATAGCTCTCCTTTCGCTTGGCCTTTAGCTTTTGTTTGGGAAGCTACGATCCACTCGCCATTGGCCATGCTATTTTCTCCTACATACAATATCCATTGTTCTTGCACAAGGATTGAAGGATCTGTTGGACACACTCAGCACTAGAAGACTTTCCAACCCTTTCTCAGGATCTGACTTTCCCAACACGGCCAACCAGCGCCCGTCTCTCTCCACGCGTCACTCCGCCGCGCGGCCGGCCGTCGCCGGCCGGGAACCCAGTCAGTCTCCTCTCCCGCCGCCGCCATAATTTAAACGCCCACGAAGCACCAAATGCCCGTCCTGCCCCTGCTTCTCTCCACACCGACTCCGGGGCCGTGCGTGCCTGTTCCGGTCATTTCCCGCCTCACGTGACCCGCTTGCCGAGTCCACCTTCACCTCAGAACAAACCCGTCCCCGTCGCACGTCGACGTGCGCTCGCAGCCGCTGCGCACCCCCACTGCCGCTCGACCGATGGCCGGGCCGACGCCGACCTACTCCGCGATCGTGTCCCACACCGCCGCCTTCCTCGCCGAGCTCATCGCCTACCCGCTCCTGCGTCGGCACCTCCTCTCGATGGCCGCGGCCGCGGCCGCGGACGGCGGCGGCGGGCAGCAGCACCCGGCGGCCACGCTCCAGGCGCTGTCCCTCGTGTCGGACGCGCTCGACACCGCCGCCTCAGGCTCGGCGTCCCCGTCGTCGCTCCGCGCCCCGGAGCGCCTGCTGCGTTCGCTGCCGGCCGCAACCCCGCTCTCCTGCCTCCTCCTCGCGCTGGCCCGCGCCGCGCGCCGCGGCGGCGGTGGTGCGGCCGCGGCCGCCGTGCTCGACCTCTTCGCGCTGGACCCCGCGCTGGCACGCCATGAGCTCGCGGCCGCCGCCTTCGAGGCGCTCTTCGCGCCGCGGCTCCTCCCCGTCATGCGCCACTTCGCCGCGCGCCGCGCCGCGGCCGCCGCCAAGGCCATGGACGAGGAGGGCGGGTCGGACGAGGCCACGGCGGTGTCGGCGATGCGAGTCCTGTCGCTCATGAGCGGGGTGCAGGCGCAGGAGATGCGGGCGCTGGAGCGTGAGTACGAGAAGGTGCTCGACGCCAACTGCAAGGAGTACGCGCTCTACCTCAAGAGGATCCTCGAGGCCGGCGAGCCATCGGCGGCGGTGTCGCCGTCGCCGTCGCCGCATCCTCCTCCACCGGAGCTCGTGTTCGGCGTCGGCGCCGACTAAGACAGTCGCGGCGACGAGGACGCCGCGCCGGAGAACGACGAGTCCGCTGCCAGCTCGCAGAGCGACCTACGGGACAATGTAATACCGCGACACGCTCCGTTCTCCTCACTCGCCCCCATACACATTCTCAAGCACACAGCGTCATGACGAGATCCCGGTGACCTTTTTGCAGCCGATGTGGGCGGAGACGGAGGAGCAGCCGGGCGATCTTTACCCACGGCGGCAGAGCAACGTCAGGGGCAGGAGGGACCTCATGAGGCCGCCGAGCCTGTACCCGCAGCGCGTGCCGCCGCACCTCATAGTGCAGCAGCAAACGCCGCCGGTGGGCAGAGCGAGCCCGGCGTCAAGGATCCGAGCGGAGCACCCGCGGTCGCGGTCGCCGGCGGCACCATCAGACGACAGCATGGAGGAGTCTTCCTCCGAGCTCTTTGCCGGCAAAGAGGTGCGTGCTCTGCAACTTGCATTGGCGTCCATCGAGACGCAAGAGCTTACTATATATACTACTACTAGTTAATGTGTTTAGTAGCATCTCATTGCATGATTAGAGTTCAGAGATTCAGGGCAGTTTTTTCTTTTTTTCAGTTAAGAAAAGGAAAACGAGAAGCGTGGGTGATTTCGGAAAAAAAAATTGTGTTGTCGGTCGTTTTGTGCTGATTTTCAATTTTTCTAAGGTAACATGGCAGCAATTTAAAGAATTGGACAGATTAATCTTAAATGTAGGTTCAGGACCCTTTGCATAACAAATGTTCAGACTTCAGAGAGCATGATTAGAGGAGAGCATTGAATAATTGCAAAATATAGGGATTCGTCCAATTAGACCATTTGAGTACAGCGAGAGTTACCCTGCATATAAACCACTCAATGCATCTATATGAGTTGTTCCATCCAAGTGATCTAGCTTAACCAATGGATTTTTTTAATGCTTTAATAACCAATGGTTTTTTTAGTGTTACTTAAATGGGATCGTATGTGTAGTGCTCGCAAAATATGCCTGTGTCAACGCCTTTAGCTTTTCAGAAAGTTGGAACCACCTACCGATGTAGGAAACAAAAATCGCTCCACCATGCCTTATATAAGTTCAAAAACATAACCACCGTAACGGGAAAAAAAAACTTGACTTAAATAAAATCCATCAACAGTGCAGTCAGCATAAAACTACTTTTTTATTGTTTATATGTTATCTTAGCATTTTGCCATTGAAAGAAATCTCAACGCTAATTATCAAGGTTAACAAATTACCACGCCATTAAGCAGAGAGAATAAAATAGAACAAGTACCTCTCTATGTGTTGATAAATTACCCACCAGTATCATTGCACAAAAATCTACCCAGAAATAGCATTATCTCTCTCATTATTTAGTTTGTAGACATGTAAGATATACGTAAAGTTTTTTGTTCATTATTTGTAAAATCTCTTGAATTTAAGGGATTTTAAGAATATATTACATATAAAAAATGAATGGTTAAAGATACTTATCAAAGACCATGCAAAGTTAAACTCGATTAAGTATTTTTTTTACCGGAGGTAGTATGTGGTTCTCCCTTTTCACAATATTTATTATCATTCTGGCTAACCTCACACAAAATAAGAATAAGAAACATTAAAGAGGGAAACTATAGGTACTCCCTCCATCCCTAAATAAATCAACATGAGCTGTCCTAGAAGCATCTCCAAGAGTTCTCAATAAAGCATCCCAATCAATTTTTGGCGAGGATAGAAAAAACCCGATCTCCAAGAGTTCCCAATCCCACCTTCCAATCTTTTGGCACTTGGAAAAAAATCACCGAATGCGTAGATATATCCGTGCGTGGAAGCCGCGCGTATCGGTCTCCCAATCTAAAGTGGAATGACGTGGGAAAGAATAAAGAGTAGAAAAGAGTTCCTGATGCAAATGTACAAGAGAGAATATATAAAAGTGGTTAGGATAATTTAGAAATAGTATAGGATTCGTGATGTAAAATTATCTTCTATATTTTAGGAATGAATTATTGAAAACTGTTGGAGATAATCTTATTTATTCGTCCTAATACTTTTTTGGCGAGTTGGAAAACTCTATAGTTTTGGAAAGAAATTCTTGAGAACTCTTGGAGGTGCTCTAAGTCAAACTTTTGTAACTTTGACCAACTTTATAGGAAAAAATATGAACACCTATACCACCAAGCAATGCATTATGAAACTAAGGTTCATGGTGTATCTGATGGTGCTAATTTGCATTATAAATATTGGTGTTAGTTTCTATAAATTCGATCAAAATTAAAAAAAATTAAGATAACTCTATAAGTTGATTTATTTGGGGATGGGGACAATTCATCACAGTCCTAGATGTCTTGCATCCCCATTGGCAGATACGTTAGGCTAGGGAGATGTGACTGAGTGTTGCAAATACACTGAAAAAATTTAGAGACTTAAGGAAGTTTTCGAACGTGAGAACTAAAACTAATTTAGGGAAAAAAATCCCCCTAGTGCGCCTCATGTAAAAAACCTTTCTCTCTTAATACAAATACGCGTAAATTTTTTGCGTGGTTGAGAAAAAAATTTAGGAGAAAAAATAGATCCTAGAATGAAAAATACTATGAAGCATAAGGAGTTTAGCTTCAGTGTATATTGAGTAAGTACAGTCCAAAAATGATACTATTTCGTGATTGGACAGAGTATATTGAGTTATTGACAGATTAGATGGTAATAAGTAAGAGATGTAAACCATCTTTAGTACCGAAGGCATATACACCGTGTCAACATTCGAGATTTTTTGATAATTTTAAATTTCAAATTTTAAAATATGTAAACTTACAACAGTATTTTAGAACCCTAAATAATTTCAATTCAAAAACTTTTTAACTACAAAGTTGTAGATCCTGTCGAGGGTTACAATTTTGATATAAAGTTTGTTTTAATCAAAGCTCATATGAAAAAGTTATGAATTTTTTTTTAAAGTCAGCGTGCCACATCATCAAAAAAATAAAAAAATATAAATATAACAAACTGACATGCGGGCCCCACATGTAGGAGCCACGCCAGTGCGCCACGTCAGCATTCAGAACGGGTTTGGACCCGTTTGGACCTAGATGATACCCGAAGCCAAGTTCATGGACCCAGAATTGGTATTTTGAAAGTAGAGGGACCTAGATGACACTCTTTGCCAAGTTGAAGGACTGCTCGCGAATTTTCTTTTTTATTTTAGATTTTACATCGAATTCCATATACACAACCATTTTTTTTGAACTACATAGACAGTTGCTAAATAAGGGAGTTGTTATGTTTCAGATACCTGAATTTTTAGAAATTTCAGGCAGCAATCTTACACGATCAATCACAAGTGACAATTTCAAAGAAAAATATAGCCAAACAATAAAGAAATTATATGTTATCTGAAAAATATTTTAAAAATCAAGTACCTAAGATATAGAAGTGGTTAAATAAAGTTATGTGTGCACAATAGGTAAGTGGTGTACAAAGTAAAAGTAGTGGTACTAGTACGTCTCAAACGAGCCATTTGTCTATGATTCATCGGCATCATCGCAGGGGAGTTGGCACTTGAATATTCGAGTGTGATTCGTCTTTATTTTTTCCCTCTGCTGGAAGCTGAAAGCTTTGGCATGCCAAATCTTGGAACACGCGCGCATGCCATGTGTGCCCTGAATTGGTCAAATCCTATGAACGTGCGTTGACAAGGAAATCTACTCGATCAAACCAATGCCAAAGCTTGACAGCATGCTAGCTTCCAGCGCGCGGTTTAATTTGATTTGAGTTGCCAATGCCGCCTGCCTTGTCTCGTAGGAAAAGATCGCGGCGCCGCCACTGTCCTCCTCCAAGCAGCCACGCCCACGCGCCGACGCCGGCCGGCTGTCTCCGGAGCCAGCGAGGTAATCAGGTAAGCAAGCCGCCAACGCCGCCACCACCACAGCTGCTGAGGATGATCCCAAGGCGATTTCACTAACAAACACGTACGTTCATATACCAGCAGCAGCTCCCCAGCGCGCGGCAACGACGCCGCCGCCGTCGACACGCCGGGGCTGATGCCAACGCCCAAGGACTTCGTGTGCCCGATCACCAGCCAGGTGTTCGACGACCCGGTGACGCTCGAGACCGGGCAGACCTACGAGCGGCGAGCCATCCAGGAGTGGCTGGACCGGGGCAACGCCACCTGCCCCATCACCCGCCAGCGCCTCCACGGCGCGCAGCTGCCCAAGACCAACTACGTCCTCAAGCGCCTCATCGGCGCCTGGCGCGACCAGCAGCAGCCGCAGCGGCGGCCGTCCCCTTCCCCTTCCCGTTCCCCGCCGCCGTCCACGCCTCCTCCGGCGACAACCGGCATGGAGGGCGACAGCCCAGCGCCGCCGCCGTTCATTGTCCCCATCAAGGCTGCCGCCACCTCGTCGCCGTCCCCGGAAGCCAACACCAGCGCCAGCGCGCCGTCGCCCACCAGCATCATCGCGCAGGCCTCTCTCTCGAGCGCCGTGGCCGAGCTCCGCGCCGCCGTGTCCTGCCTCTGCACGTCCGAGGACCTGGCGCAGTCCGAGCGGTCGGTGCTCAAGATCGAGCGCCTCTGGCGGGACGCAACCGCCGGCGGTAGCTCCGATGCCAAGCCGGCCATTCTCGCTGCGCTCGCCAGGCCCGCCATCGTGAACGGCTTAGTGGAGATCCTCTTCAACTCCGTCAGCGCGCAGGTGCTCCGGGTCGCCGTGTTCCTCCTCGCCGAGCTCGCCTCCCGGGACGACGCCGTCGTGCAGACGCTCACCAGGGTCGACTCCGACGTCGACTGCCTCGCCGCGCTCTTCAAGAAAGGACTGGCGGAGGCCGCCGTGCTCATCTGCCTGCTCGCGCCCGCCCGACCAGCTCGTCGAGATGGACCTGGCGGAGGCGCTCGTCACCACCATCCGCCGCGGAGAAGACGAGGACCCGCTCAAGATGTGCGTGAGCCCCAAGGCCGCGTCGGTCATCCTCCTTGGCCAGATCCTCGTCGAGGCCGCCGGCGCGGCGGACAGCTCCACGTCTCCGGTGCCAAGGTCCGCGCTGCTGTCCGAGAGGTTCATTCGGAGCCTCGCCGCCAGCCTAGAGGCCGAGCCGGTGGAGGAGAGGCTGGCCGCCATGCGGATCCTTCTCAGGTGCATCTGGGAGGACGGACACTGCCGGAGCAGCATCGCTGAGAAGGCGTCCCTCGGCGCCGTCCTCGACGCCTTCCACGCCGTCGGCGACGCCGACAAGATCGACATCGTGCGCTTCCTCTACGAGCTGCTCAAGCTGAAAAAGTACCAATGCAACGTGATGCCGCAAAGAATGCCATTCGTTCTTGATGTACCTACCCACTACTTGATCTATCTCATCGAATGATATTTCTTCTTCCAGGCGATCGGCGCCGGAGCGTCTTCTTCGCACGATCAAGGAGGGTGGCTCCTTCAGCATGATGCACACGCTGCTCGTGTACCTGCAGTCCGCGCCGCCGGAGCACAGCCCTGTCGTGGCGGGGCTGCTCCTCCAGCTTGATCTCCTGGTGGAGCCGAGGAAGATCAGCATGTACCGCGAGGAGGCCGTGGACTGCCTCATCCAGTGCCTGAAGAACGCCGACTTCCCGCGGTGCCAGCTCCTCGCCGCCGAGACCATCATGTGCCTCCCGGGGAAGTTCTCGTCGTCAGGGAGGCCGCTCGCCCGGTCCACGCTGCTGAAGCTCGCCAGGGTCAAGGAAAGGTACCGGCAGTCGCAGGACCTGAACGCCGCTCGCGCCGATGGCGAAGACGAAATGGTAGGCCGACACCGCTGAATTCTCGAGCGCACGACGAACGTTCGCCATGTGTGAAGAACTCTGAATCTCGCAGGAGGAAGGGAAGGCTGCGTCGGAGTGGGAGCGGAAGGCGGCGTACGCGGTGGTGAGCCACGAGTTCGGGCTGGTGTTTGAGGCCCTCTCCGAGTGCCTCAGGACCAAGAACGCGGAACTGTTCACGACGAGCCTCGTGTGCGCCACCTGGCTCCTGTACATGCTCTCCCTCCTCCCCGACACCGGCGTCCTCGGGGCCGCCCGGGTCTGCCTGCTCCGCCAGTTCGTCGTTGTGCTCCGCTCCGCCAAGCACGGCAGCGACAGGGTCCTCGCCATGGTGGCGCTCAGGAGCTTCATGAACGACCGCGGTCGGTTTCGGTTGATCACCTACCATTTCTTCTTCTTCTTCAATTCCTTCTCTTGTGATGCACACAACATACATTTGCTGAACATTATCAGTGAACCTTATCTCTGAACTAAACCTCGATCGGAATGTGCAAATTTCTTTGTAGAGGGGATGCACGACATCACGACGTACATCAAGGACGTGCTCAAGACGCTGAGGGAGCTGAAGAAATCCTCCGGCCTCGCGTTCGAGATGCTCAAGCTGCTATCAGACGGCCAGGAATCCAGCGTCGTAATGCCTCTCGATCAGCTACCTGCACTGCATCCCCATTTGTTCAGGCTCAGATTTACTGATGCCAAAAGGTGTCTCTTAATTTCGCATTGCAGGACATGTGGAGCCACAAGGAGATCAACCAGGTCGACTGCAGCGCAAATGGCGAGGTGACGTCGGTCGTTTACCTCAAGAGCTACATCTTCTCCGGCCACTCTGACGGCACCCTCAAGGTATGGGAAGGGAGCGAAAACATCCTTCGTCTTGTCCACGAGGTTCAGGAGCACACGAAAGCCATCACCAGCTTGTCAGTCCTGCATTCGGAGGAGAAGCTTTTCAGTGGGTCACTGACAGAAGTATAAGGGTACGTACGTAGTCATGCTTCTTTTCTTGGCAAGATTCAGGAGCTGAGCTGACACTGCATGGATGGATGGGTTCACTTCAGAGTACATCTGACCTGTTCTTGTTGTGAGCAAGCAGGTGTGGCAGTTCCGGGACGGCATGCTCCGGTGCGTCGAGGTCCATGACACGAGAGACCTCGTGCAGAGCCTTGCCGTCGCCAGCGCCGTGGCCTGCTTCGTGCCGCAAGGCGCAGGCGTGAAGGTGCTGAACTGGAACAGTGGCAACTCCAAGCTACTGATTACTGAACCCCAACAAGTACGTGAGGTCCATGGCGCTGGTGCACGGCAAGCTCTTCTGTGGCTGCAACGACGGCAGCATCCAGGAGATCGACCTGGCGAGCGGCACGCTGGGCGTGATCCAGTCCGGCAGCAAGAGGATCCTGGGGAAAGCGAGCCCCGTCTACGCGCTGCGGGTCCACGACGGGCTGCTCTACACCGGCAGCACGCCGTCGTCGTCCGTGGACGGCGGCGCGTCCGTTAAGGTGTGGAGCTGCGCCAACTACGGCCTCGTCGGCTCAATGGCGACGGCGGTGGAGGCGCGGTCGCTGGTAGTGAGCGCCGACCTCGTCTACGTCGCCTCCAGGACCGCCGCCGTGGAGATCTGGTCCAGGGAGAAGCTCGCCAGGATCGGCACGCTGCAGGCGGGCGGCCCCGGGTGCCGCGTCCAGTGCATGGCTGTCGACGCCGACGCCGACGTCCTCGTCGTCGGGACGTCGGACGGCAGGATCCAGGTCCGGTGCACGCGGATTAATTCTTGCATTGGGCTCGTCTCGTGCTTAACCGAATGAACTAACCAATGCAACGTCGGTTCTCACGTTGGCATTGTTTTTCTGGTTTGCGCTGCAGGCGTGGGGATTGACTTGACAAGACGAAGAATGATTGGGTGTACATGAGTCGTGGAGTATAGTTCCGGCATGGCACTGGTACGGGCACGGCACTACGTGCGACGGCATGCCGACTTAACGGCCCACGCACGGCACTATCGCGACTTAGACGTACTGACACTGACACTATAAGTGTCTAACATCTCAAAATGACCAGAATATTAAGATCACATGATGTTATCAAAGATTAACCTTACAAGTTCACAGAAACTTATTACAGGATGTTAAGATCACAGAAACTCACAAGATCACACAAACACAGGAAGAGATAACAAAATAATAATTTATCTGGAGCTTTAGTATAATGGCTGCCTCATTAAAAACCTGTCTAGGTAAAACTCACCCTTATGGGAGAAACTCTATACAGAGAAAAAGAATACAGTCCAGCTCTATAGAAGTTCATTGTCCTTACATCAAAGTTCACAAGTCCAGAATATTATAGTCACATTACATAAATGATCACTAAAACACTAATCAAGATAAAAGTTCTTCAAATGCTTCTTCAAGTTTCTTGTCCTCCACCATGTGTTGCAGCCTTGCTTCAGCAGTCTCCCAATCTTTGATGCAGGTCAGCATCTCCACCATCTCAGGCTTCAGCCTCCTCCGTCGTTCCTCGATGATCCTGCCAGTCATACTAAAAGTAGATTCTGAAGATATGGTAGACACAGGAACAGTTAAAATGTCTTTAGCCATGATTGACAGCACTGGATATGTGAGTTTGTGCTGATACCACCAGTTCAAGATGTTAAAATCATCATTTAACTGGTTCACAGTGTCATAGTCCAAGTAAGAAACAAGTTCAGAAGCATTAGAAGCTGAAGTGATTTCAGCCTGTAGCAGGGCAGTTGCAGAGGTATCTCTAGCCATGCTTAGAGTAGCAGCTAGAGGATGCATACCACCGGCAGAACCACCAACATCATCATTATCATCATCATAAATTTCATCCCAAACAGACATTTTCTTACTAGACAGGTTAGGAGGGATAGTTCTCCTCAACCTAACAGCTCCATATTTTTTCTCATACCTATTGTAAACATCAGTAAGTCGAGCTCTAGTGCCAAGCTGGTAAGTAGTATAATCTGTACCAGTAAGGTTACCCAACCTCCTAAGCACTCTATTGAAACCTTTCATTTTAGCTCTATAGTCCAGGATGAATGCAAAAGAATAAAGCAAGGGTATGTCCCTCCAGTATTTATTATATTTGTCTATCATAGGTTGAACCACAGGTCTGATGTGACTGTTATTAGCATAATTTTTTAGGTGTATAGCAATCTTAATAAGACAATGAATCATAAGTGGAGATGTAGGATAGTACACACCAGATAATGCAACTGTAGAATCATAAAACAATTTAAGAAATTTAAGCACTTTTTCTGCCATAGCCCAATGTTCATCAGTTAAAAGCAATGGACCACCTTCAATCCTAGGATAATGAGCATGCATAAAAGTAGTGAATGGGACCTTATGAGGAAACAAATGTTTAAGCATTAGATATATAGAATTCCACCTTACCTCCATGTCTAGCTGAAATTTTCTAGGCCTAACACCAGTGGCAATACAGTAACTTTTATATGTAGCAAATCTCTGGTTAGATGAGTTTAAAAATGATATTGCAGCTCTAAATGTTTCAATCAAATGCTTAAGAGCCTCAAGGGCCTCTTCAACAATCTGATTGATAATATGACATGCACAACGCTGATGCAAGAACATTTAATTAACTGTAGTAAGGGATGATACATTGTCTGATTGTGATTCAACAGGACCACCTACAACTTCAATACCAAGATATTTAGACAACACATGTCTAAGTTTACACATGGCAGAAACATTAGATGATGTATTGTCTAAAGTAACAGCAAACACCTTTTTCAGTCAAACCATAATCAGTAAGCATAGATACAACACGGTCAGCAATGTTTTATCCATTGTGGGACACATCAATAAGCACAAGACCAAGCACCCTCTTCTCTAGTTGCCAATCAGAGTTTATGTAATGAGCAACAACACTAATGTAGTCCTCTTTGACATTACCAGACCAAATATCAGAGGTCAAACACACACAATTAACAGCAGAAGAACTAAGATTCTCAACAAACTTAGCCTTGCGATCAGTGAAAATTTTCACCATGTCTCTAGTAATGGTTTGCTTAGAGACAGGAACATATTTAGGATTATGAGTAGTTCTAATATACTCTTCAAATGCATCAGTTTCACCCATACTAATAGGAACATCTAGCCTAGCAAGCAATCGAACAAGTTCAGTACGTGCAACCATAGGACAATACTCCCAATTACGCATACTACCATCAGGATTAAAAGAGATCTGAGACTGAGACATGCGATTTTTTTCACGCCTCCTAGGACATTTATCCCTATGCCGGATGAGGTGACCAGTGCCACCACTAGAGAGAGTAGAATATTGCTTAGAGCAATGGATGCACTTAGCGGTATACCTGACCTTCTTACCATTGAATTTTTTGAAGATCTTCTTAAAATCCAGCAACACTATCGAGGTAGAGGGACGAGAGCGTTTGGCACTGTTCTCGTCCTCTTCACCTTCCTCGTCGTTTGCTTCCCCGCCTTCTTGACCATCGCTGACATCAATGGGAGCCTGAGCGCTACGGCCGAACATCTCCTCGGCATCCTCGCGCAGGTCGTCCTCATCGTCATCTCCGGCCAACCCGCACAACTGCCTCTCTTCGTTGGCTCTGACCTCAACCGTCTCACCGTCGGAGCCGGGCATCATCAGTCGCTGGCGCCCTGGTTCCTCAACAGCTATAGAAAAGAAGCGTCAGTACAGATCTAGGGTTAGGGTTAGCAAGGATTAGCAAGTTAGGGTTAGGATTAGGGTTAGGATTAGGGTTACCTTCGTAGCTAGAGCACCAAAATCACCGACGACATCGACGAAACATAGATCCGACCCCCTGGTTCCTCAATGGATTCGAATCCAGAGCACCAGAGCAGCCGGCATCCGGTGAGGTCGATGGACGAAGAGGAGGACGACAAGGAGAGGACGAGGCTACATCGACGACGCGAGATCAAGAAGAGGGGGGTTACTATGCCGTGCCGTGTGCCAGTGTCGGCCACCGGTGCCTCAAGAGGCCACCGGAGGGGGAGAAGAAGAGAGGAGTGGAGAGTCGTCGTCGCAGCAGAGAGACGAGAGAGCAAGATAGGAGAGAGAGAGCGGGGATGAAAATGAATTAGGGTTAGGATCCGTGGGTGAGGCGGTATATATATACCTCTCCCTCTAACGGGCAAATCCAACGGTCGGATGGAGCTGGGGAGGGGGATCCGATAGCTCTGAGGGGAGGAGCCGTGCCGCAGTCGTGCCGACCACCGGTGGCTCAAGAGGCCATCGAAGGGGGAGAAGAAGAGAGGAGTGGAGAGTCATTGTCGCAGCGGAGAGACGAGAGAGCGAGACAAGAGAGAGAGAGCAGGGATAAAAATGAATTAGGGTTAGGGTCCAGGGGCGTGGCGGTATATATATACCTCTCCCTCCAATGGGCAAATCTGACGTTTGGATGGAGCAGGGGATCCGACGGCTCTGAGGGGAGGAGCCGTGCCGCAGCCGTGCTGCCTGTTTAGGTTTGTCGTGCCTAGGCCGACACTGCAATAGCGTGCCTAGGCCGACACGGCAATACGACCGGGCCATGCCAGGCATGATGCTAGCCAGGCCGGGCCGGGCCTAGGCCGTGCTTTTCCGTGCCGTGCCTGGGCCGGGCCATCGTGTTAGTGCCAAATGGCCAACTATAGCGTGAAGGAGCTCATCAGAGTCAGACGATGGTGAATAAAATGTGGAAAAACGAGTTGCGTATGCTGATTTTTCTTTGTTCTTTTTTCACCTGGCACGATTTTGCACGATCTGCTAAGTGTAAATATCGAACTTTTCATGACTCTATGATTACCATAATCAGCTAAAATAATTTAATTGCCATCTAAACAGATTAAAATTATGAGATGGATTATCATAAATCAAACCATTATATTACAATAGTCCTATAATCCATTTCAGACCTGTTTTTAGTGATTACGAATTTATGAGTCAAAAATACGCCATAATAACCTAGAAATCCAAACACTCATTATCACGATGAGAGGGAGGGATAGGGGACCTATTCAGTGAGAAATGTCCTTACGGGAAATCGTGGACATCTACTTTGAATTCATGACACGTAAGGATGGCAGCAGATCAGGTTTGTGGCGGATATCCACGGGTTTTGGGTCCGCTGGTTTTGGTTTCTGGGCATGATTTTTGCCCGTGTTTTCTGGGTTCGGATACCCGAAATGCTGCGGGTTTAGTGCGGATCTTTATTTCCACCCGCGGATCTCCATTTCGGCCCCGAAAGATTCAACCCACTAACAGCCCAACTAACAACCCTAGATATATAAGCTGAAATCCTTAGTCCCTCACCCCTCACCCCTCTCCCTCCTCACCCAGGCGCCGCACGCCCGCTGCCCCCCGCACCCAAACCCGCACGCGACACTCACTCGCACGTAGACGGAGGCACCCCGCTCCCACCCACTCGATGAGCGACGCCACGACGGCGTCTCCGGCGCTCCACGCTCGCGGCGGGAGGCCTCCTCGGCCTCGGCCCTGCGTCCACACGGGCGGCCGGCGCACGCAGCCTAGGGAGGCGAGCATCCAGCCAACGCACGCATCCCTTCTGGCCTTCCTAGATCTCAAGCTGCTGCTGCTGCATCTCAATCTGAATGTGTTTGCTTTTTTGCATCTAGAAGTGAGCAATGTCGGCTCTTGGTGCTTCAAGTCTCAAGCTGTTGCTGCATCTCAATCTCGGGTCTCGGTTAGTCCATCGGGTTTTGGGGATCCGCGGGTTTCGGTTTCGGGATGGATTTTCACCCTAATCGGTGTTAGGGGCGGATTCGGGTTTTAGGTTTGGGTTTCGGTTTTGGGTGCCCAGAGACTCCACCCGATCCGAATCCGCCCCGTTGCCATCCTTAATGACATGTGTCCATGTGCAAGGATTCAAGGTATGGGTTGCTCAAAGAATTCAATAGTAATTAGAGAAAAATAATTATTAGATATTGGAGACTCGCACATGAATACGTATTATGAATTCGCGGCAGGTGTCTAGGACTCCCTAATGAGGATAGTCTCCACTCATTTTTTTTCTCCACCACAACACGTGCCACGATCCTCCATGAGCCGTGCCATCCTCCAACTCCTAGGTCCTGAGTTTCTCATCATGCCGTATGGCTCGGACTAAAAATGGCAATGGGACTGCAACCTAAGACCTAACGAGTATTTACTCCATTAGGATCCAAATCTAGACTAAATACATCACTCATGAATCTAATTGGGGAAACCTTCACCCAACGGGTACGCGGGTACTGGAATGTTCTATAGTCCCCATACCCATTAAGCCATGGGTAAAAAATACGTGGAGGTCCAAATATATGTTATGGCCCAATATCAAATCAGCCCAGCCCAAATAAGGCAAACCCTAGGTATTTAAGCCAAACCCTCATTCCATTCATCCATTTTCCACCTCGTCCCTTGATCCCCCTGCTCCTGGCGGCTGCGTGCACACTGCACGAACTCACCACTCATGGAGGATGTAGGGCACGATGACCGTGCGTCCGCACCAGCAAAGTAGGCCACGCCCGCAAATATTTGTTGTGTCCTCCCACCCCTAGCCGCCTGGAGGCCACACGGCACGTCATCCCACCCATAAGCCATAACTGCTCCTTCTTCCTTCGCCCTACTCCCCAACCATTTCTCACTGCCAGAGCCAGCCGCCATGCTAGGGACCGCGCAAGCACAAGCCAGTGTCGTCGCATGGTGACCATTTTCTTTGTCTTAACCTTTTCTATTACAGTTTGCAGCGTCTGATTCACACCACTAACTATAGCAAACTGTGGCTATCCTATTTTAAAGGGACATCGGAGTCGCGGACCACTTACAAAAGTCGCTGGATCCGGAGGACACTGACGCTGCGCTCGCAAGATTAGTTTGTCCATTGTTTTGTCTTGTACTTTGGTTTTCTTTACTATGATTCTATCCTAATTGTTGGTTTCCTTTTTTAGTTGATGAGAAGGAAAAACAAGCTGCCACCTTCTAGTCTTGCCTCCAAGATATTTAAGAAGGTCTTTAGATTAGTGCACATATCCAAATTAAACCGGTGTTGGGCCATCCTCGAACTCCTAAGTCTTGAGTTTCTGATCATGCCGCACGACTCATAGTCTCGGACACCGTTCATTCTGTCGATTATGGATACGCTTTAACCCCGAACGATTGCATGGCGTAACACTGTACGAGACTGTATATTAGACAATACCAATATACTTGCCTGCTAAAAATGGTAAAGAGGCTAAATATCAAGAGTGGAAACAAAGTCTTGGATCAGGTGGGGACTTTTTGACGCACCCAATCTCCCCCTTAAAAATGTTGATATATGTCAATGATCAATCATGATTACTCAATGCGGCGCATATATAGGCCATGCTTGCACTCGCTCCAATTCTTATGCGCTAGCTTGCATAGCATTGCACGAGTTGAGATAGTCTTACCATGTGCGCTAGCTCAGAGACAAAGAAGAAGACAACCACACAAAATAGGTTTATCCAATCCTCATGCGCGAGCTTGCATAATTTTTTTTTGACAAGGACACACATGTGACATGTCATTGTATAAGTTGAGAGATAGTCTTACCTAATGAACTTAGCTCAGAGACAAGAAGGAAGACAACCACACACTCGATGGGTTAATAAATGCTTAGACACCGGCACGACCAACCACGTGACAGCCACAGGTTCGGCCCTTCACCGAACATGCGTCGGTCATGTGAGTGGTGGCGCCATGTCAAGGATCCATCGCGTGTGGTCCCCCTCCTCCTTGTTCTTCCAAGTCCGACGAAGAGCTTGTCTTCCTCCGGGTACCAAACTGGTTCAGCCACCGCCATAGGTGCGATGTTCGCCGGAGCCGAGCACGATCACTTGTACACGCACGCCAACCCAAAGAAGACGATAGAGTTTTTTTTGGCATGGCCAACCTACTGCCTTTCCATGACCCTATCATTTTGCAACATAAATAGGCAAACGGCAAGCGGTGGCCAATAGTCCACGGTGCGCCGCGCGCCATGTTCCTCCGCAAGCTGCGCCGTGCCATCCTCAATGCAATGCAAGATTCAGAGTCCAGACAATGCCGCGGCCACTTGTTCCCGCGTGAACACGCACGCATCCAGCACAGACACTCTGATTGTGATCCCGGTGCCAACGACCGAGTCCGACCTCATGCAAACCAGGAATAGCTACGAAAACAATTTCTTCCTCTTCTTCTGAAAGATCGAATTTACAAGATAAGGAGTGTGCCAGCGAATTATTACACACTCATTTTCCTTCTTCTTCTTCAGAGCTTGCTGGTTTTGTTGGCCTTGGTTGGCCAGGCAGGGGTCACCCACTGCCTCCCTACGGCAACCAGCTCGCCGGAGTCCTTTTTGCGCACCTCCACCGCTGCAGCCGTCAGCTTCCCCTTCCGGCTCACCACTCGCCCCTCCACCTCCACCTCCGTCTGCGATGGAGGCCGGCCGGAGCTAGAGGTGAGCGCTCCAGCTCCAGAGGAGACCAGAGTTGCGGGTATACACACACAAAAATGGAAGGTTAATCTGGACGTACGTCGCGATCGGCCGGCGAGAAGTAGGACAAGCTGTAGTGGACGGTGGCCGTGGGCGCGCCCACCACCGTGTGGACCACCGCTGAGCACACGCAGTCCACCGCCGCCGCGATCGCTCCGGCGTGCCACCTCCCCCCCCGCGTCCTGCACCCATGGCAAGCCAGGCTCAGGTGCTCCGGGACAAAGTCTAACCATCAACCATGGTGGAGTTCAGGATTTGGACGGCCGGCACGCACGGCGACGGGGGCGCGCACGCGGAGCGAGCAGATGACGCGGCCGGGCTCGGCGAGGGAGACGCGCGCGCCGGCCAGCACCACGCAGCTGAGCGCCTGGCTGCCGCCAGCCGCGCTGGGGCCGACGCCGCCGTAGTACCCCACGCGCGGGTCCTCTAGCCACTTCCTGGCCACGGCCACCTGCCGCAGCGCCCGCGTCTCGCCGTCACCGGCGTCGCCCATGTCCACGCCGCCGGCTGCGGCAGGCCGCGCGTTTGGAGGCTGGGATCGCTGTTCGCTAAGACGACCTTCTTCCATCTCGCAAGATTTTCTAATGGCCAACATTAGGTGAAGTTGCTTTGGAATTGGAGTGGCCATGGATTTCTCGTTAGAAAAAAAAAACAGAACAGTGCACGCGTCGTTTTCAGTCAGCTGTATAAAACGCCATGGCATATCGAACAAAATCCATTAAAAAACGCTGCTAGCAGTGCAACTGAAAGCGACGCAGAACAGAGCTGGGATTAACGCAGGACAGAGATGAAAATTTTCATCTTGCTTGCCAACGCATGATTAAATTAAAGGGGACATCAACACCAGTAACATCTGGAACTGATTTTTCAACGAAGCTTCAGATCTTGCTGATTAATTCTCAAGGAACTGATTAAATTTAAAGGAAGCTTCAGATCTTGCTCTGAGAGCCTTTGGGCCTGGAGGTCGTCATCCACTGCCTCCCGATGGCCACCAGCTCGCCGGATTCCTTCTTCCGGATCTCCACCGTCACGGCCGTCATCCGCCCTTTCTGCTCCACCACCCGCCCGTCCATCTCCACTTCCTCCTGGACGGACAACATTTCAGTTCAGTTCAGTTCCTTTGAAACAAAAATCCTTGATGGCTTCTGTAATTGGCACCATGGCGATACCACGGTGCCCCCCTGTTATCTTTTACCATCACCCCTGTTATCTGTTACCATCACCGGTCAGCCCGGAATCCATGGTAATATATCAGGTGAGGAGTGAGGACTCTTTTCGTCCCCCGTCGTTCCCATGAAAAAAACATAAATACATGCTGAAAGCATCTCTGCACAAGTGTGCAGTGCTGTTTTCTGAATACATGCAGAGAGTCTGAATTGAATACTACCTGTATGTTCATCAGAGAAAAAGAAGTAGCACTACTCAAACCTGTCAAGAATCTGAAAACGGTGAGAGCGCCCTATCGAACATAATTTGTAAGGGTATAGGCAACTGCTTTGCTGAGTCATGTAACAGAAAACGACTGTGGATTTCTGAAAGGCTTTGGATTCCTTAACAAACTTCGGTTGTTTGGAAATTTCCTTGGAGGGAAACCTAACTACTGCCCTGTTATCCTATTCCTAGGTAGTAGTAACAGGGTTGCTTCTGGGAAACAAACTTCAAAAAGAAGCATGTCTACACGTGATAGAATAGAATGGCCAATCCTATTCCTGCTACCTTACAGGTTTGCTTTCTTGTGCTGAACAATAGCCAAAAGTTGCATCCACAGAATGGTTATAAATAAATAAATACTAGGGAATATTAGCGAAGAACCGTCAACACAGACCTCCTGCCCAACTGTTCAAAGAACAAATGCTGAAGACAAGAGAAGGTGCCCAAAGAATGAAGCATATTCCGGTTCTCTACCCATCTTATTAGCACGAAAAAAATGTGCAGCTAGTGCTAACCAAGTGCTGGGTGCCCAAGAAATTAAAGTGGCTTTACTTGAAAGACCAGGCTCCACCAAATTGGACAATGTAATATGGGTAATGTAGTCCACATATATATAGACCGAGTTTCTGTGAAAGGTGCGTCATGAAAAAGAAAGATATCCCTCTTAACAATGACAACAAGTTTAATCTTCCATCAGAACATTTCGGAGGAGTAATTTCATCAGAACAGGAAAACAAAAGACTTGGATCTGCATAAACCCCCAATAATCTGCTCTGGTTTTAGAAGTACCTGACAGCAAATTTCTAGCCAACCACAGTTACCTAGATCATACTTCAGAAATCAAAACCAATCTGGTTGCTAAAAAAGAATGCATGAAACTAGTACGAAATGGGAGTGGCTTATCCATGGAGCTTGCTGCAATCACATTACAGCATAGGCTGGACTGGCATCCATGATGTACTCTACTTGACTGGCATCCATGATGTACTCTACTTATTGCTGGGCAGTGACGTGCCATTCATCGCCCGCCTGATTGAAGAAAACGACACGCCTGGTAGCCAAACGTTAACCAATGATGTGTGAAGGAGTGTGTGGAGTGGCTACACCACACGTAGCAAACCTCTTGTTTCTTTTCTCATTGACTCGAGTGTTAAAGACACTTGGACACAGACACTATACTAACGTAGTGGGGAAGCGAAAAGAACAGAAAAGATTATTTCTTTTGGCATCCCGATGAGGAGGGAATGAAGGCGAAACTGAAAGAAACTGGGGAGAAGACAGTAGCAGGTAGGAGGTAGGCAGTGGTGTGTACGCACATGGAGCTTGGCCGGTGTGAAGTAGGAGATGTCGTAGTGGACGGAGACCTTGATGATGCCCTCGGCGGACATGATGGCCGCGGCGCACACGTCGTCCGCCGCCGCCGCGATGGCGCCCGTGTGCCAGTTCCCCTCCGCGTCCTGATCAGAGCCAAGCCAAGAACTTGTCACGCGAGAGCTGGGCTGGGCCTGGGCTACAAGGAAGGAGGGAGACTGGGAGAGGCACGCACTGTGAGTTGGGGCGGCACGCGGAGCGAGCAGAGCGCGCGGCCGCGCTCGGCGAGGGACACGAGCACGCCGGAGAGCGGCAGCGCGTTGAAGGCCCGCTCCGGGGCGTCCTCCGCCGTGGCGCCGGCGTTCTCCAGCCACCTGCGCGCGGCGGCGGCCATCCACGCCGGGGGCTCTGCCGCCGTGCCCCCGCCCATGCCGTGTCGCAGCGTCGCGTCGATCGCGGTGGGCTTCTTGAGCTCTGACCGGATGACGACGCTGCTACCTGACTTGTTTGACCGGGCCGAACGGACGGGGAGGTTTGCAGATTGCAGAGTGCGTAGTGCCGTCTGCCTCGCCCGTCGCCACACGCACCCTTCCTTACTTATAAAGGCATCCGCCACCGGCCACTCGGCTTGCCTTCGCGTGGGCGGCTAGGCTTCTCACGATTCAGTCTGCAATGACTTCTGAATCCTGCCTGTACTAATTCAGAAGCACACCCCTTACAGCCAGAGGAACTGAACGCATTGAGGAGTCGCGGCTTCACCGGTTCAGGCTCTGCTGTCAGTCTGTTGTCAAAAAAAAAAAAAAAAACCTCCGGTCAGTCTGTGCATCACTAAATTCTTTAGACAGCAATTATTTTTCTAGCTTGTCATCACAAATCATTGGCCAATTCACTGCATGTAAGGATATTTTGACTAGCAAAAGAGCACATGCATATCACTGAATCATTCAAATATATTAGGCTTCAATTGACAAGCAAGTCACTGAGTACTGATTATCCAGATATTAGCCTTCGGTTGACAAACAAGTCACTGGAGCAATTCAGTTATGCCATTGCTTGGTGCTTTCTAACAGTAGCAACAAGAGCATAGCTAATCAAGTGCTTAAAAGCAACCACCAACTCCTTACATTTGTATTGATTGGCATTGTGACATACTGCACAAAATAATCCTACCACTGTATCGAACAATTTAACCTAAAATTGGTTCCCCGAATCTGAAATTCATAAGCATTTTTTTCTTTTCTTTTTCTTTTTTCGCGTTCGTACTCTGAAATTTTGGATTTTCATGGATGTCACATTGCTGCAGTTAAGAATCAGTCTCAACAGCACACTGTCCACCGAACCTACAGAGCAAAATTCAGCCCAAATAAAAAAAAAACAGTCCGCGCGCTCGTTGCTACAGTAAGAAATTAAATTGCCGGTACACACTTACCGTCCGAACGGCCGGCGCATAGCACGCCCCCCGGGAGAGCGGCGTGGCGCAGCCACGGGAGAACGCGTGCATCCGTGCGCTTTGCCGAGGACGCTCCCGTGTGCTAAAAAAGTTGTCCCTGGGCCAGATCACCTGCGACCATTCTCAGCCCTAAGATTCATGTTGGACGGTAGATACAAGGAGGTAAGTCCGTGACTTGGAGAAGCTAAGTCATTGGATCCGGCTCTCTTTCTCTGCCACTCACCAGCCATGCATCACAAGCCACTGCTCCATTCAGTCATTCGGTCATATTTGTCTACTCAACAATAGCACAACTGCAGGCCCACTGTGCGAGAACAGCTTACTATGACGACGTGGCTCTTCGGAGAACCATAAGGCCAATTTTAATGGGAGTTTCATAGAATTTTATGGGTATTAAATATGCTGACATGGTATTGTATTGATAAAGAGAGAGGTGATGAAAATTTCATGGGAGTAGAGAGAGTTTCATAGAGATGATACTCTTCTGCAATTTTTCCAAAATATAAGTATGTTGAAAACTGAACCATAAAACCTCCACTGATACTAGCCTAACTCATCTAATATTCAGCCATTCTTTCGAGGTTTCGTCAGAGCAACCTGAAGCTCTACAACATCCAGAGACATAACTAGTTGACCTATACCTTACACATTACACAACCACACAGCCCCCCTTCAGTACTCACACATTTCTACAACACAAGTATAGCCCCACATGTTCCTCTTTCGTGCTTGTACAAAACAAATAACTGTACTGGTTTTTCCATGGCCACCCGACACCAGGTCTTCACCTATATACATTCACAAACAATATGCTGGACGCTGCACCTTAGTACGGTAATTGTTGCTCCTCCATCCAAGAAACCGTGCGTCCATGAGTGTCTCTAACACAGAACCTGCATGCACCGCATCCAACTAAAGTAAGAAAATCTCCATGTTTCATCAAAGTGGTTTAGTTAAACGGGCAAAAAAGAGAGGCAGGATATTTTACCATGCATAAGATTCAGCAAAGCCCGTCCTCCCTCTATCCTCTACAAATGATAATCGCTTCACAAAGTGAAATGTATCAATCTAACTGTCTACAACACTCCTCTCTACCTCAAAGTTTTCTCATATACTTGTTCTTGTCACTGATTACAGTAAAATCAGCAACGCAGATATCATTTCTCACATGCTTATACAAAAAGGATGCAACGTTTTCCCTTTGCCACTAGACCAAGGTTGACTGGCATTCGTTGTTTTGGAACCGAGCTAACAGAACCCAACCGCAGGGCGTTTCATCTTGCCGAGAACATTCCTAGGTT